AAGTACAAATTCAGATTATTTCAGATTCTGCTTTTAATGTCCAGGTGTGGATCTGGCGGTTGCTGAGCCAAAGGTCTCCCTCTCTCTCACGTTATGTTCCTTGTCTGTTTAAAAGCACCTGAAACTTCACCAGAGTTCACCAAGCAGCACGCTGTGCTGCCCCCTCAACTGTGTCGCAGCTGGATTCAGAAAACTGCTGAGTAGGTATTTTTTCCCCTCACATCAGTTGGCAGAGCGTGGGTTGCTTTTGCCCTGAAATCATTCCTGAGCTAAAAACTAAGCACAGGGCATGCGCAGAGTAGCTGAGAACTGGTGTTTTAGTTGGCAGGAGAATAGAGGTGTGGGAAGTCCCTGCATCCCTGACCACTTCCCTTCCACCGCCTGCTCTTAATTCCTTCACTGGCCAGAGGATGTTGCTGCAGACCGGAGCAAGGCTGGGAGTGCTCTGCCTGGGATGCAGATGGGGCTATGCATCCCATTTGGTACTTACTGACATGTTAGGTAAACTAGATTTTTTTTTGCCAGCAATAACTCTGGCAGTGGGTTTGCGACAGGCTGTTTTCGGCAGTGATGACCGGCTTAGCCACCCACATCATTTGTTGGCCTCGCTGGAGGGTGCTGCCCCGCTCAGCCATTTGCAGCTGAGATGTGCTCCAGCTGAGATCACCTCCCTCCCCTCCAAGGGAGGGGATTTTCATTTCAGCTCAGACTGGTCCCCTGATCCAGTTCATAGGATGTTTGTGAAAAGGAATTTGGGAGGAGCAGAGGCAGGGAAGGAAGCACTGGTTTACATCCTCCAGAAAAGCTGCACTATGAAACCACATCCTAGCAGACCAGTACTGACAGGGAACCACACTGCTCCCCTGTAGATGTTTCAGGTGGCTCAGCCGCTCTCTAGGCTCCCCTGTACATGATGGGACCACTCAGGGTCTGTATTTCTACTCTTTTATATCTCAGGGCTACATCTGTACTGGTAAACTATACCACAGCAGCTGTCTAGCATTGGACCATGATGGTCTGCCCCTCTGAGCTGGCACAGTTTTGGCCAGGACCAACTTGCAGCTTCCCAAATAACACATAGGCATGGTTCAGGAGCCAGCACAGGGTCTGTCCCTAAGAGGCAGCTTGAATTTGGCCACCCAGTTTTGGAGATAATGTCATTTTAATAGTCAAGACTGTAGCTGACTGATTTCAACACAGCACAGGGGCAGCTCAGAGCCCCCAAAAGTGAACGGCTCCAGATTGCCCCACAGGTCCCAGGGGAGGGTGAGAACACCCAGCTCACCTGCAGCTGCTAGAGCTGGCAGGGGGAGGAGGGAGAAGCAGGAGGCTAAGGGCTGGCAAGACCATGAGCAACACCAGCCATAGCTTCCACCAGCTTGGGGGAGCTGGAAGCTGCACCCCGGGAGTGCTGGTTCATGCACACAGTAGAAAAATAGCTCCTGCTTCCAGATCTCCGCTCCGCCTTGCTCCCAGGAGCTGCTGCCCTAACATAAAGGACAACTGAACTGTGTGTGCAATGGCTGTCAAACCACTCCACCTCACATCTCACTGCATTAAATTAAACCTGAGTACATGCTGGGTGAGCTTAATATCCAAGCCTTTAAACTTGGAGGAGGTGGTGATGTGGGGCTTCGTGGCACAACAGACCCCAGCATGAGATGCCTACGCTGGGAACAGGGTGAAAAACAAGGAGACACGCTGCAGTCTGGATGAGTAATAAAAAGATGACTGCAAGCTGCAGAAAGGAGAAGCTGACTTCATTTATCTTTTAACAGGGCATAGGCCAACCAGGCCAGCAATTACTTATTTAGCTGTAGGATAGGAACCCATAATATTAAAGTGTCACGATGTGCGCATCATCTTAACCCACATAAAGGGCTAATACTAATTATCTGCTGAACTTGCAACATACACATTACAGCAATCCTGAGCAGGCTGGGTGGGGTCAGTTTTTATTATGTCTCTCTGCCTGCGCCAGCCGGCGCTCCGCATCCTGCCTACTGCCCAGCGCATGGTGTCACTCCGGCATCGTGGAGCCACATCTCCTTCACCAGCTGAATTAGGAGCAGGTCCCAAAGCACAGAGGCTCTGACAGCAATAGAAAGGCAGAGGCTGGCAGTGCCTTTTGTTTTTATTTGCCACTTTTTTCCTCATGCACGGGATTAAATGTCAGTAGAGATCTACCTGCACCAATGCCGAATTCTCTTGGGAAATATGTGCTGTTGCTGACAGATCCCTTGGAGAAGGTAGGAGCTGGTTCTGCACAGAGAAGCAGATTTTGCTAACCAGAGCTGCTCTGTCCTGATGACTAATTAATTCTGTCTTCCACCCACACAACACGTACAGCTCGTAACATGGAGTCAGCCACAAGGGAAGGAAAAAAGACAACCTACTGTACAATTCAAACCCCTCCCTAAAATGATCCAAGCCCATCCTTTGCGCAGAAGTGTTGGAAGTTGGGTTCTCGCAGTGGAAAAAGCAGCATCAAAGCACTCCTGAAGAACTGTATGCCCTTGGTGCTGGGGATGAATGGTGTTCTTCGCTGGTGGAAGGAAACTGAAGCAGCAGCCCAGTGGGTGATGGTGATGGCAAGGATGAGGGGCTGTGTTGTCAGCCCTTGGAGCTCAGCACGAAGTCATCCTGGCACTGCCACTTGGTCTTGTCACTTGTGGGAGATTGCCAAGAAACGATGCTAAATAACCAGGCAGGAACTCTTTTCCCTCATCATCAGCTTTCTCACATAGCTTCATCTCCGCTTGGACCCAGGAGCTATGTCTGGAACAGTTCAGGCTCTTCCAGAGAAAACAAAGTGTTTGCCAAAGAGCGAGGGCTCTTCTGAAAGAAAGTGGAGTGCCTTTTGACAGGTATCAAATATGTTACAAGTCTTTTGTAGAGATTTAGTTTGTAATTTCAAGCAAGCAGCTAGGACATGAAAGACCATGGATAGCAGACACCTTTCCCAGCTCCAGAAATGGAAGATACTTAGGACTTACCTGGAAGAGGTGTTGACCCAGTGCCATGAGAGATGTCTTTTCTGCAGCCCCCCTCGCCTGCTCAAGCATGGGAGCCCAAGGTGACCATGGCAGCAATGAGCCCACCCAATAAGCAGGGAAGAGGTGAACAGCTGCCAAGCACCTACCTGCCTACTAGTGTCTGAGACCACTGTGTTTAAACCTCAACTCCTGTCCGTCTGCATGTGAAGCAGCTGAGGAAAGAGTGCAGTGGAAACATCTCAATTCAAATCAGGTGCCATGCAGTAACAGCAGTTAGACACCCAGGTGGACATTTCTATCCAGCAGACAACACATAAGCCTGGCCAATACCAACTGACTTAAATCAGCTCAAAACTTCATAAAGCTATCATTCCTGTACTGGCACTGCCTATAGAGAGGTATCCTTATGCTTATCAGAACCTATTCTGTGCACTGCTGGACCTCAAAAGAAATGCAGGTTTGAGCTCTTTCAAGAGCAGATACATGATCTTACTTAGGAATTGCTTGATCCCATCCAGTCCTGCAGAAACACCACACAGCAGATGTGTAGGCAATAGTTCTGAACTGCAAACTTTTCCACACTGCTCCCTGGGTTCCTTTTTTTTCTCTTTTTTGTTGTACAAAAAAATATTTTCCTCTTTTCCATGCTGATGGAAGAATTTTTCATTTCTGTCTTCTGAAAGCAAAGTCCTCACCTTGGTTCTGTGTGTTACCTGATTAATATCTGTTAGTGTCATCATGAGACTCAGGATAACTTGTATCAAGGAGGCCCACCGGATTTGAGACTGCAGCTCAGAAAAAATAATGGCAAGCCAGAGTGGGTCTAGCTTTGTGCAAAGCCACAGCCCTTGTCCCTGTCCCCCTCCCTTTCCTCATGAGAGTACAGTGAAGAAGTAGAAAAAGATGAAAGTTATATTCTCAGTACCATCTGGCTGCAGGGGGCTCATTTTATTACTGGGCCATCTAGGGGCTCAGACAGACACAGGGTCCCATCTGCCTCCCATTTTAAATACCATTATTTTTTACTTTGGTTGCCCTCCACTGGTGTCCTATTGGAAACCTGAGGGCTTCCAGCATAGGGAAGGTGGATGTTTCCCTCCAGATGGATCATTTCAGGGAAGCAGCTTTGTCAGGTGGAAAGAGTTAGGTCTGTGTTGTCATAACTTCCTTCCTTAGAAGTATTTTCATACTGCTACCTGTCAGCTAGTGGGACAGTGTGTATTTATGGGAAAACTGTGAGGTTTCATGAGTAAATGTTTGGTGATTTCAGTTCCATAGCCTGCAGCCACCCAGCTGCCCTGAATGCTGAAACAGAGCTAGCAGAAGGGTGGTTAGCAAAGGGAACTCTCTTGCACCTGTATTGTCTCCACAGGGGTTGTTTGGAGGTGTAAACTAGGGCAGACATGGCCCAGAGATAGCTGTCATAGAAACATGGAATCACAGAATGGTTTGGGTTGGAAGGGACCTTCAAAGATCATTCAGTCCAACCCCCTGCCATGGGCAGGGACACCTTCCACTAGCCCAGGTTGCTCAAAGCCCCGTCCAACCTGGCCTGGAACACTGCCAGGGAGGGGACAGCCACAGCTTCTCTGGGCAACCTGTGCCAGTGCCTCGCAACCCCTTTTGTCAAGTCTAATTCTACTCTTGGTTTAAAATCATTACCCCTTGTTCTGTCACTACAGGCTGTGGTAAAATGTCTCTCTCCATCTGTCTTATAAACCCCCTTTAAGTACTGGAAGGCCGCTATAAGGTCTCCCCAGAGCCTTCTCTTCTCCAGGCTGAACAACCCCAACTCTCTCAGCCTGTCCTCATAACGGGGGTGCTCCAGCCCCCTGATCATCTTTGTGGCCTCCTCTGGACCTGCTCAAACAGGTCTGTGTACTACTTATACTGGGGACCCCAGAGCTGAACACAGTACTGCATGAGAGCAGAGTAGAGGGGGAGAATCACCTCCCTCAACTTTGAAGTGTTATAACTGAAATATGCTTCTTTTGTTCTTCCACAGGCCATGTCAACCATAAACCTGTCAGGCCCAGAGAACAACGCTGACCATCAGTGAGTACCTCCATGCTTTTGTTGTATCTTCAGAGGGGAAAAGCAGCTGGAAGGAAGGAAGCATATAGGAGAAAGTTATTCCTGCATGCCTCCTACTGTGCAAAGGAGAGGTGGGAATGGTGTCAAATTGTTTATAGCCCTAAATAGTCTGTTCTCTACCTATTTGCCAATTAAAAAAAAAATCCAGGAATTGCACTACCTGAAAAGATCCAGGCTCCAGGTCAAGTACAGTATGGAGATTCAATACAGAATTTAGGATGTCCACATGTCACACAGGCATCTTGAAGGAGCTTGTGAAAAGCTGGGGAGGAGTGTTCCAATGAGTGCCTCGGGCCCTGGCTCACCCATAGGTCATCTGTGGGCTCTGCATTATGTAGAAAAGGAGGATAACTTCTCTTTGTGCCCCAGAAACCATAAGGAAAAATTCATAAGACACCACTGTGCTAGACCAGATGGAGACATGAGCATCCCTCAGGAACAGGGGAATGGTGGGGACCTACTGGACTCTGTATCAAACAAAATAAATCTGAAATCTTCCTTTCACAAGCAAAAGCTACCAAGCAGGCTGTGCCTGCACCAAGAGCAATGGGAACTGTTCGGCACACGTTAGTTAAAAAAACTCAGATGAAACAAAAAGGCTTGAAAAACCATCATGAAATACCATCTCCTTACGCTAAAGAGTGACTCTTTTCAACGTTAAGCACTCTCTGTCTTTGCTACTGAAGCACTCAAAAGCAGACTAATTTGCAGATCCTGGGCGTTGGGCTGTGTGACCTACTAACGCCGAGCAGCACTGGTAGATGTGACACGAGAGCCCAGGCACCAGCCACCATCCTCCCCTCCCTCCCAGCTGGCAGGGAGCTCGCCTGTGGAGGCTGCTGGTTTCAGGAGTGCTCAGAAAACATGGGTGCCCTCGGCTTTCCTGGCAGCAGGGCTTGTCCAGGGACTCTCATGGGGACCATACCCTCTCTTGGGCTCTCCAGCATCCTTGATGGGCCTTGGGCCACAATGACAACTGAGCAGTCTCCTCTGGGTGTGCACACAGTCCCCCACCAAGCTCTCCAGCCCCAGGCTCTCACTGGCTCCCCTTGTCCCCTATCAGGGCTTCACTTCTCCCTCCCTCTTTGAAACACAAAGAGAAGACTTGACACAGCAGAAACCGGTTTCTGATCTTGGATAACAGAGCAGGAGCTTATTTTCATTTAGATAACATTTAATGTACACCCACTGCAGAGCCCCATAGTGCAGCTCACGTGTGAAGTGCCCGTACTGCCCGTGATAAGCAGGGCTGCAATTTCTGCTGGCAAGAACTGCAGGCAAATATTTTCTTGGAAATTGTCCAGCACCCAGCAAAATTGCATTCTGAAGTCAAATCAAATCAAGCCTCAGAAACTGGCTAATGTGCATAGATGTCTCATCCCTCAAATTTCTGTGGCTAGAATTGTTCTAGATAAACACTCCACGTGACAAGCAGCAAAAGTCAGCCTTATCTTGAGGAGTTACTGACTTAAGGAATTCCCATAAAGCAAATTAAAGAAGAAATAAATGTCACGGAAGGAGAAAAAAAAAAACTAGATAGGAGACCTAATACTATCTGCCAAGAGAGCAGTCATGCAAGATAGATGCTGTAGGTGTGCACCTCCTGTACTGCAAACATGCCTGTGTGACACCACATAAGCATCTAAACCAGGCCCTAATAAATACCTTCGATGCACATGGTAAACACAGCTGGATGTATTCCTGACCGTGCTGCATTACCTCTCCCCCTGCAATTCTTTTAGGATCCCCTCTCTAGCATCTGGTGGTGCACGGGTGGGTTAACACAGCCCAGGAACACAGTAATGGTCTTATAATTGCTGCCAAGGCTCATGTCACCAGCAGAGTTACCGCGATGTTGTTTTGACCCATTTTTCAGCTGCAAGGTCTTGGAGAAGGCATTTTAATGATTAACCCTGGACTTTCCCATCCTCAGCAAAATAGTAAAAAACACTGGCCTAGATTCACCCCAGTCAAATTTTAAGCCACTTAACTCAAGTTTCTACCTTGGAGCTTGTCACCCTAGCCACCCATCAGGGACATTGTCACCAGAGCCCACAGGCAGCTCTCCCCCACACCAGGCAGCTGCTTGATGTCACGGATGTGGCACTGCCAGCCATCCCCACCACCGGGATTTTGCTCTAAGGTGGTTTTGCTCACTTTTGGCCCAATTTTGCCCTTTGCATTTCCTTCTCATTGCATGGTTCCATTAAAAAATAAAATAAAATTCTTCCTTCCCTTGAAAATCTTTAAACACAGAGAGGCCTTTAACTGAAATGGAGCATGTTTCTTGCTTTCCTCTTTCCTAAACTGCTTCGCTCTAGCCTCTTAAATCACTTTTACTGCTGCTTTCTAAACTCCCTCCAAGCTGTTAATAACTTTTCAGTAATGAGATACCCAGAAGTCTGCACAGTAATCTTGGTGGAGCTGCATTGCCCTTTTTATTCTTTGCTGTCCTACCATGCTGCAAATTCCCCTCTTGCATGCTTTTCAGCTAGCTCTTTCTCTCTCAGCTTTGCACCTTTCTGGGTTTCTTTCTTCTCCCAGAACTCTGGGGTTTGAAAATTTTTTCCCCTCAATGTTCTTTTCCAAACCAGAAAATCTAATAGCCCTCAGCTGGATTCAACGTGATTGCAAGCTCTGGCTGCATGTTGGTGAGGGCAGCAAGGGGTCTCGTCTTCTGCTGGAGCAGCTGGAGAAGCGGAAGAGCAGGCTTGTGGTCCACCAACTCCTGTCCTGCCCACATCCTGTGCTCAGGATTTCCCTGTCACAGCCTCTCACTTAATTCCAGGACCAGTAGAAACAGCTGCACCAATGTCCTCCTGTCCGTTTGAGAACAAGGTTCAGGCTGGGAGGGCCTCAGGAGGTCTCTAGTCCAATCTTGCGCTCCAGGCTGGATCAGCTGTGAGGTCAAAGCAGAACACATCAAGCTTTGTCCCGTCAGGTCTTGAAAGTCTTCAAGGACAGAGCCTGTGCAACCATAGCCTGTTCCTCTGCTTGCTGCCCTCAGGGTACAGAAGTTTCTCCTTTTATCCAGATTGAACCTCTCTTTTTAAAATTTATTTCAGTTTTTCCATATTCAATGATACAGAAATTTGACACAAAAATAGAAAGAACCACTTGCTTTTCCTTTACTCTTGAAATAAACACAGCCCTCTGTTCCTCTCAGTTCTGGGATGTGCACAGTAAGTGGGGTTTGCTTTTGTCTTTCTAAAAGCACATCTATGTTTCAAGGAGTTCAGATTTTACCTGGAGATTTTCCCCTGTGCTTGGAGGTCACCATGCACAAAGCCAAAGAAAGCATCAAGAATAATTAACAGTGGGAAATTATGTAACTGCTAAGAGAAACAATGACTCTTCTGTGGGCCTGCAAGCAAGCTGCCAAGAACTCTGCCTCTAATTCATCACATAATATAAAATTAGTTTAAGGATTGTCACAGTGCAGAGTTTAAATCAATAAATCACGTGTTTAAGTCAGATTTCTGCATTTCCTTTTCCTAATTCTTGCCTTGTAGCTGCTGATGTATGGTTCTAGCTCTTGGGCTTTTAGCTTTCTTCCCAGTTCATTTACTGCGGTGGAAACCAGATTGCCTGCAGCCCATCAGAAGAAGGAAAATGAATAAAAGGAAGAAGCAGAAGAGTCTACTTGCTAAATCCTACCTGCTGCCATCTTGCTACCAGTAGAAGTTGCCATCAAGGGCATGGAGCAGCATAAATAAGTGTAGGACACCCATGTGATCCAGCTGCCACACCAGCTGCTCATCAGGTGGCTCCAGGAAAAACACCAAACTATTTCTGACATGCAGGGAGCACGGCTAGGTCACAGCTAGGTCAGAGCAGCCAGACTCAGCAGAAGCCTTTCTGACCTGGACAGATAAGAACAGAGGAGAGGCTGCACTGCTGTGGTTGCTCCCCCGCAACAGCACACTGGCTGCTGCCTGTCTGAAGGATGTTGCAGATGCTTCCTCGCCCAAGGAGGGCAGTTCCTGGCTGTCAAAGACAGCTGAGGGTTTATGAAAGAACCTCCTCTATATGACAGTTTCCATAAAAAACCATTTCAGGACTCTTTTCTTCGATTCTGAATCTACATTTGCTTACCTGTTTGGGGGCAGCTCCTCTGATTTCATCTAAATAACAGGTCTTCAGTTTTTTCACTAAAGGACCAAATTCATCCCAGCTGCAAGACCAAGGATGAGAGAAATCTCATCCTTAGAGAAATGGTAAGTCAACAGATGCTACATAACAAGTTTGGGACAGAATTAGAGCCATTCAATTGGATATGAAAATCTCTCCTCTTTGGCAACCAACCAACCACCACACAAAACAAAAATTTCTTACTCATTTGTTCTCTACCAGTGGATGGCCACAAAGGAAGCCCACTGATCTCAGTTGACATGGCATCACAGAACACTTTACAGTTTGGATTTACCAACTTAAGTCTCCACTTCACTCTGCACCTCACTGTTACTTCCATTTCATGGAACCACATGCCCCAACTTCCAGAAACCAGCCTGATGGCCCAGGTTGCTCACCTCTCAGTTCTCTACAAGGTCAAGGAGGACCACCCACTTGTCAGCTGCTGTCTCCTCTCTTGAGTCCTGGAGGACAAGATCAAGTAGACCTATTTTAGTGCAACTACAGTGGTCAAATCTTACAGAAGACTTTTCACTGTCCTCCCTCAGGCAGGTAGGGACAGATTTTTCTTGCATCCAAAATAAACCACCTCCGATAAAAAACTTGCCAGTTCCCTTTAGACTGTAGATGAGTTCCCACTCATGGGACAGTTGTGCTGATGTGAAAATAAATAAAAACCGTAACAGCAGTCTGAGGTAGCCAAGTACGCATTTTGGTTGCAATTCAAGCCCCTTTACAGATACAAACAAAAAAATCCCTTTTTGCATAAAACTAGGCAGTGCTCTAACTGGGCCTTGAACTACACTCACCAAAAGGTTCTGGAATTTTGATCTGGAGCATTGTAAGGACTGTACTGTAGTGAACTCACAGACTAAAACAGATGCTAAGTGATAGCAAATGTCAGCAAGCGATGTGCCTGTGGGGTATGGGAACTAGATGTGAGAGAGTATCTGTGTCTCAGCAAGCCATGTGCAGTCTGATCTTTCCATTCACAAAAAAATGATGTAAGGATCGTCTTGTGTCTTCAGAGCTTGATTCCCTCTCATGACACAAATAACTCATTCCCTTCCCTGGCAGGTGCCCACAGAGGAACAGCAAGAAGCCAGCAGGAAAGTCCACAATATCATACGATTACTCGGAGGAAGAGCTCATGGCAAGCATTGAGCGGGAATACTGCCGCTGAACCCAACCCCATACCACGAGAATTTCAAACACCTTCCTGGAGGCCCATCTGAAGCAGAACTGCTGCTGACATAATAACCCCTTGCACAGCGAGACAGCACAGGAGAGGTGGGCTGCAGAGGAATGTGAAACGTGAGGGGCAGTTGTGGCTGCTTGGGAAGCACGGAAGAGAAAGCTCTCCTGACCAACTCTGAGTGAGAGCATGAAGATCCTCACCAACTGCTGATTTCTCATCAGTGCTGCTGGAAGAGGGACCAATTCATCCTGTGAATCAATACTTAGAAGCTCATTTCTAAATGGTATTTACAAATTAAGACATACTAGAATTGAAGTGTCATACTAGAATTGTTGAGACATGGAGCTTTGAAGAAAGATTCTGTTTTGTCTGAGCAGGGAAAGAAAAACGCAGTAAAACAATTTGATTCGGATCTCACTTAAGGGGATGTTGCATGAAATTCATGCTCCTGGCACTTAAAACAGGTCAAATTCCCTCCTTGCGCTGTGCAGGCCTCTGGTTCAGATCTGAATTTGTCACTGTCTCTTCATACATGGTCCTCTCCCCAGCACGGGATGTAAGATGAAAAGGGGAGTGAGCCCACATACACAGCATCATCCCAGAGTTGAAATCCCACCACTTAGGCAAACGAGGCTCCTGGGAGCTATCAGGGGGGACAGGATTCATACAATCCCTTTGGGGTGGAATCCCCGCATTGGGGTCCTACCTGGGGCTCCTTGGCATGGATCCTCCAGCAAAAGCAGAAGGCATGTCCCTGATGCTGCCTCGCTGCAGTCAACAATCATCCATCTGGAGAGGGAATTGCACGCTATTGCAGAGCAGCTGTTTGCGATCAGTTTTCAGAATCATCAGTCCTGGCCTTCTCATTTATTTCTTGTAGGTAACCTAGAAGAAAAGTCACTACGTTTTACCATTAGCTGACTGCAAAGTAAAATAGAAAGTTGGCTCTCCAAGGAAAATCATATATTTTCAGTGCTCCCTGACAAGAAAGCCTGATATTTTAGGGTTTCTGCCTTTATTTTACCTGCATCTTAATGTATTATGACTAGCTGCTTATTATCAGAAACAAAAAATAGCTTATTCCTGTCTTCAGCTGAAGGATAGAAGACATCAGATGAAGTCATATCGTAAATGCAAGAGGAAACAGCAGGATACATCTTGAGATGCTGCATTTTAACTTCTTTGTAATTCCTGGTATCTATGAAACAGAAATAATGCACCTGTACTCTATGTAACCCTCAGTAAAAGCATCAAATGTTGTTTTGAAAAAGGCTCTCCACCTTGCATCATTTTAGAAACTATGCTCCAGACTGGTACATGAAGCATAAGACAGGGTAGCTGAGCACAGGCTTTGAGCTGATACTGTTAATCCCCATTAATAAAACAGCAATAGGCTATGCATATTAACCAAATTACTACATTATTAACCTAAAAGACAAATGCTACACGCCATGTTTTGCACTGGTCCAAAGGGGAATCAGAGAGCCTTGTTGGCCAGCTGCCCATCTATACATACCTCCTATTACTATTCTTTAAGTGAAGCAAAACCACAATTGCTGAGAGGACTGAAGAAGGTCATTTTTTTAGCTAATCATGAAAAATTACTCTTTAGTGCATGAACAGATATTACCACTTCTGAACTTACTTTCATGAAGTGACTTTCTTGAGTTCTGGAGGTTTCTTACCTGGCTGCCTGTCATGGTTTAATCCCAGCCAGCATCTAAGCACCACACAGCTGCTCACTCACTCACTCGCCTTGCAGTGGGATGGGGAGGAGAATTGGAAAAAACAAAAAAGTAAAATGTTGAGATAAAAACAGTTTAATAATTGAAATAAAATAAAATATAGTAGTAATAATAATAATAGTAATGAAGACAGCAGTGGGAGAGGAAGAAAACCAAAGAAAAGCAAGTGATGCACAATGCAATTTCTCATAACCTGCTGACCAGTGACCAGCCAGTCCCCGAGCAGTGAGCCCTGCTCTTGGCCAACTCCTCCCAGCTTATATACTGGGCATGATGGCCTGTGGTACAGAATATCCCTTTGGCTAGTTCAGGTCAGCTGTCCTGGCTGTGCTCCCTCCCAGCTTCTTCTGCACCTCCTCGCTGACAGAGCATGGGAAACTGAAAAGTCCTTGACTTAGGATAAGCACTACTTAGCAACAACTAAAACATCAGTATGTTATCAACATTATTCTCATACTAAATCTAGAACACAGCACTGTACAAGCTGCTAGGAAGAAATTAACTATCCCAGCTGAAACCAGGACACTGGGCAACGGGAATTCCAGCTAAAAGGTTCTCATAGTGAATTACTTAAGCATAGATCTTAAAAACCAAAACCAATGAACCTGAAACTAAAGAACCAATTTTCAACACTTACTCAGACCCTGGGTTTCACTCAAATCTGGGTTTTTCATGGGCAAACAAATGCTTTGAATCCTTTTTTCCCCTTTCTTTGTAGATGTCTTTTCTTTCTGGCAGCACTGCAATGGATGCAGAGCTCTGTCTTTTCAGAAAATGAACTTTTCCCCAAAGAGCAGCTAAAAAAAAAGATCAGTGCCAGAGCAGTTTTAGGAAGCAAGCTGTCTTTTACCTGGCATATAGTTGTCTGGTGAAATCTCCTATAAACTTCAAGAATTCAGTCGGAGCTGTAGGTAAACTTGAGCAGGGAAAACAAAGCTGTGACTTGATCCATGCTTGGGTGAGATGGCTGGAAGGAATGATGAACAACAGCTAGTCACCATAACCATAGCTCCTTGGGACAGATCTTCATAGTCCATTTCTGGCCCTGGGACCCTGAATGCCAGTCCTTTTGCCTAGTATATGTGAGGACGGCCCCCGTACGTATCTGCCAGCATCCCCTCGCCAAGACCTCAGAGAGCAGAGCAACTTATAATTCCCTGATGCATCGCGTCAAGTGCCCTGCTGAAATCTGCTCACCTTCGCAATATCAGAGGAGAAAGGAGGGTGGCAACTTCACCACCCCAGGGATGCCCTTCCCCAGCCTCCTTCCTCTTGAGAATCAAACCCCCGCAAGCTGTCAGCCAAACTATTCACACACACACCCTAGGAGCTGAAACGGAGCCCCTGCCCCGGACGAGGTGCAGCTTTGCAGTTGCGCCATATGAGCGTGGTGGAGCTCCCCACCGCACTTGGCAGGGGTGGTGGAGCACCAGCTGCCTGGCACAGACTTCATCCACAACAGGCTTTTCCCCAACTCACTCTGGACACAGGACATGGCAATTACTTGCACAGGGTGGAGGGAGTTTATCTGGACAGCAACAAACAAGAGAAATCTCTCTGAACTCGAAAGACTACAAGGGAGGAAATTATTCTTCCAGTCTTAAGAAAAACTCTTCCAGAAAAGGGTATGCTCTGGCTTCCTCAAGTTTTCTGCAAGTGCAAGATGTGGCCACGGCCTTTGGCACACACTGGGATGTAAATATCACCCGATTTACTACTCCTATACTGAAGAACTGAAGCAGAAATTGAGGAAGGCTTCATTTGACAGAGGACAAAACTAGCCTGGAAAAAAAAATGCCTCAGTGCTAACGTGCTTGCTGCAGGGGAGGTAATCCCATGGACCGTGTGGACTGCGAGCAGAGGTGGCTGAGGCTTTGCAGCATCCTCCTGAACTGTCTCGTCACTCCCTTAGCCTGTAGGCTGCAGGTTTTGAGTCGTGACTTACTCTTTCTGCATGCATCAAAGAAGTTTGCCTTTGCATGGCCATAGCCTGCCTGCCTGCCTCTATCTGCCTTGCCAGGTACGAATGGAAGGTAAACAGGCAGATGGGTAGAGATTAAACTTCAAAACCAGTTGGAAAATTTATCTCAGCAGATGAATTCAAGCTAGATGCAACCCTGAGGCAGGATCCAGCTCACAAGAGATGACAGATGAAGTGCCACCTTCATCCTTCACAGGATGCTGAGCACAGCTTTCACAGCTGGATTTGGAGAGTTAGCCAGAGCTGTAGCCTAAGCCAGAGGAGCACACCAAGCGTGCAGCCAGCTGGCAGCACAGGCCACCTCTGCCCAGCCAGCACTACAGCTTCAGAACAGATTCACGCTTCCAGTATCCTAATGGCAAGTGATTGGTGCTCAGCGGTTTGCGATGAGACAAGCTGCTGCTTAGCTGAATGTTTGGCTTGTATAACCACACGCAGGAAAGCAATGCTGGTGTAACTGCAAAATATAACATTAAACCAGTGGACACGTTTGAGACCCCATACATTTTTCTTTAGAAAATTATTAGTTTTCATGGATTTAGAATGGCTACAAGACAGAAAGACTTTCACCCACCAACGCTTATGTTAGCACAGGGGTAGCTGGCAAAGCTTCCTCACATATGAGCTGTTTTCTCTCACAGTATGAAGCTGTTCCAGACTCCAGCCCCATCAGGATGTGTACCAATCACACCTCCTGGCTGCACCTAACAGCTCAGACCACAGCTTGGGTCCAAGGAAAAGCAGAAAGATGAGGACAGAACTGTGAAGTCCACAATCATGTTTCACATAAGCAAAGCAAAGGAGACAATATAAAAATCAGGGAAGAAGTTACAGGTATTGTTTAGGATATGACTTGATGCTCAGAATCGTCCGTGAAAGACAGTAGTAAGGACAGGAGGACCCCTTCCCCTGGAAGACAACAGCATTACAGTGACCTGCAGTGCAGGGGCTGAAGGGTTTGTGCTACTCTGCCAGACCACTGATCCTGCAGTAAAGCCTTCCCTTCCAGCTGCTCTCCTGAGGGGGAAGCAGGATCATCCACGGAATCTTCTCTTTTCATCTCCAACACTCTTGTAGGAACAATGTGCTCTCTGCAGACAATGCATCGAGTCACCACTCCCAGTCTGCTGTCCAAAGGCTCTGACTGCAGAGACTGTCACCTCACAGTGAAAGGCTGTGATGACACCCTCTCCCTCCCTTCTCTTCCACTGAAACGTGACTCTGCTAGAAATAAACACTGCTGCCATTTGGAAACTGGTCAGAGGGAAAGAAACAGCAGAGATGCTTCAAAATTTAAAGCAGTTGCTGCTGCTGTCACCATTGCTGGACACCTCTTTCCCTGCTGAGAGCTGGAGGTGACACCCAGCCTGCCAGAGCCACTTCCCCGTCAGAGCGCAGGTACACGGGAACGGGAAGAACCAGGGCTAATTCAGCCAACTTTTGAGTCAAATTCTCATGTCTTCTTTATTTCCAGCATTCATGCCATGCACAGCTTGCAACACTAACAGAGCAGCACTCAGACCATCACCTTTTGTGGACAGCTTCTGGAGGCCATGCTAGAAGAACAGTTATGAACCCCAAGACTCTTATTTTCAGACAACATGCAAAAACCTTAAACCCTGGCGGTGGTGTACGTGTTCTAGCAAATACACAAGAAGTGTTGTGTAAAATTATAAATGGACAAGCACTGGTCAATTTACAACAGAACCCAAAAAATCCTTCCTTTGCAGGTAAGTAAACTAGCGAGCCCCAAAGCCTTCCGTTGGCCTAGATATATAACCTAATCCAGATGGATGTACATAGTTCTGGAATGGACACATATGAAACCTGAAAATTCACAATTTTTTTATGATTTAAAACCAGTCACATTACATAGTTTTTATTTAATAAAAGTTAAAAACAGGTACAAAAATGTGATTCCATTTCTTTAAAATATAGGCTCAAAATAAAAAGACTGAACAAGAGTTCAGGCAGTAAAGTGCAAAGAGAGCAGTTATCCCAGTCATGCCTAATCCATAAATAACCCTTACACAGCAGGAAGGAACAGAAAGAGCAAACAGAGCAGACGCAGCCACACTGCGACTCAGCTATTCATGCACATCCACAGGAGAGAGAGCACGCCCCGCACACTGGTGGCAGGAGGTAGCATGCACCTCGCAGGAGCGGCTGCGAGGCATCGCAGGCCGGGTGAACCTAACAAAGAGGGAGCTGACGCTTTTCTGCGCCGTGACACACATACACAATACACACGTTTTGAAATTTCACATTCTCCACTCCACCATTTCCCCCCCACCAATGCAACAAGCTAACATGCCAACTTACTAAATTATGACACAAGTTTCTAAACTGCTTTGCTCAGGTGAACACCATAAATGGTTAATCTGTAAAAAAAAAAGTACTAAACTGGCTACTGGACTGAGACAGGATGCTCTTCCCCCAGTAATAAGCATGCTAAAATGACATCCAAAAGTCAAACTTCTTGTTCTAAGGGACTTCTGAGAAAAAAAAAAAAAAAAGCAGCAATGTCTTTCTTCACCACACAAATTTAGAAAACTGCGTATTGAAAGAGAACAACAACACTACGAGCACCCACTGTACCAGGAGAGGGGTTTCAACCGAGCCCTTTGGAGAGCACAAAGTGAGGTTTGCATCCGCGCACACACTTACCAGCATGTACGCTGCGGGCAGTGGGATTAGTGTATGTCAAGTGAACAGGGCGTGGACATTTTAAAGGTCAGGCACAAAAACTTTAGTACACTTAGCACAATACTCCAATTTAGTGCAGTTTGAAAACTTACTACTGTTAATTATAACTATAGACTTAAGTGTAAAAAATAATGACATATTCTGCTTTCAACTGAAACAGGTCTTGGCCGATTTCAGGGGAGTGCTAGCTGAGATCAGCAAGTCTGCACTCACACAGATGAGAATCGTGCTTAGCCCACACCA